GTACCTATTCGCTACTAATTGTGTTATTCTAACTAAATATTTGTTATTCTTTTTAAAAAATCTTTTGTGTGTGTGTGTGTGTAAGGGGGTATACACCCCTCCTGTCTTTAGAAAAAAATTTTCTCTTTCATAATCTCCTTTCTCCCACAAATTTTGCCTAAGCTCTTGCTCAGCTTGGGTAACCAATCTGATCAATATTTAACGAAAACACACTTTCTGCCACTTTGTCTCTCAAAATACTTGAGAGCAAAATTTTTATCCCACTTTTCTTTATTGAATGAGGAAAAAAGCTCAAATGGATGTCAACGTTATCATTATCATGTACTTATAGTGTTGAAATTACGGGGGCAGATGATGTTATGTTCTCATACTTCTATGGTTTTCTCTCAAAAAAATTGCACCCCTACTACTTTTTTCCCTCGCCACACTACTGGAATATAGTTACTCATTTGTTTAGCGTTAATATTACTTTTTTAAAAATGTCTTCTTTATAACTTCTTTACTTTCAAGATAAGTAACAAGTATCAAACTAAGGTTAATGTTCATCAACGACTCCAAACAAAAGAGAGAGTTAAACTTGCATTCGATATAACACTCAAAACCACTTGCCTACATTTAACTACATGACGATGTCACTTATAGCAGAATTATACTCATAGAATAGGCATGCCTTCTCCCTGCTACCAACAAAAGGTCCTGAGGAATCCAAATGTTGACAGTACTCGATTTTTGAATTTTTCTGTCGTTTTAAGTAAAAAGAAGAAATCCGTTAGAGGATATTTGGGATTTTAAGCTATGATTGTCGAAAATCAATGACGCAAATATTTTAAATATATCCAGAATGGGTAAAGATTGAGTTAGGTCATCATACTTTGACATGACCACTATTCCATGTATTACTACAGCTCATAAGATAGACGTTGGAGGTTCGAGAAAGGTTGGAATCAGAAAACTAGAAACAGTAATCACTTGCCAGCGACAGTATTTAAAGACACCATGTTCATTGAACCGATGAGAGTTAACAATTAACCTCCAAATCAGCAAAAACTATTCGGTTGACCGTAGAAATGGTCCGTTTTATCGGTTAAACGGAATTAACTGGCGGTTTTTATTTTTGCTGAGCAAGCAGTGAAATCGGACAAGAATTAAAAAAAGAAAGGAATTTGCATCGGTTAATAATTACGACAAACTTTGTAACTACAACAGAACGAAATTAAAAAAAATTGGAAAGAGTATGATTTTAGTCGTCGCGTCGTTCAGTCATACTTTTTACTCAAGAAGATCTTTCTGTGGATTAGTAGATCCGTTGCCTTTTCGATGTTTAGAAAAATAAATATTTTAATCATTCTCGTTTCCATACCGTTCTGCAAAATGAAAAAATTTCGAATATAATTTTTCATTCTTCATTCTGTGATAATTTTATTCTTTTTTTCATATTTTATCCGATGAAATCTTACTTTAAGCATTCTTTTCTATTTCTTCCATGTTTCTTTTGAAGTTTGAACTTGAACATGTTTCATAGCGGTAAAAAATTTTTGCATCAATATATAAACAAATGTTCGATCTACCATCATGTTCAATAGCAAGTTTTTCCAATCAAAAGCGTCTGAGAATGATCAAGAATATGCCAAAAATATTATAAAATCTTTCTTTTTACCCTAAAGTATTCTACGTGTGATCACTCCAAAACAAATCGATGATTGAAAAGGGGCTGGTTAATCGCAGTTTATTGACGGTTCTATAACTAACTACAATAGATTTGGCAGTTATTTAACGAACAGACAGTATTCATCGTTAATGATAAAAAAGCAGAGGAAACTAAGTCATCGACAGAACAGACATCATTCCTTTCATAGAATACATTCATTTAGATCAGCTGAACAAACACAAAACGAAGCCTTTTCCGTGATCAAATGCATCAAGAAAGAAAATTGAGTAAACAATTTTTAGACTAAGAAAATTTTCATTTTTATAAAACTCGAATCATTTGTGTATTCTTTTCAGAATCATTTATTTTCGTGACCTAAAACTGCAGGACTAAAAAATATTATTATATAACAAAAAAGAATACACAGTTAAAAAAGAAAAAAATTTCAAAAAAAACAACAAAAAAAACATCCACCAATTAATAAAAAACTGCAGGCAAAAACGCTATAATATGTGATGAGCAGTCAGTTAAAACTGGCGTTAAATCAGACACTTTTATAAAGCAACAAAAAATACAAACGAAATAGAGAAAACTGAGTTTTTATTTTTTTTTATTTCAATTTTAATATGTCATCTGTACACACACACACACACGCACAAGAAAAGCGACATCAAATGCCTACGCTACACGATACACTCTCTTCTATAGTGAATTCCCAACATAAATGATAAAAAATAAAGTTGTGTTACATATATGATGAATATATATCATAAATCTAATCTACTCAGTTGTGTATATGTATTTGTGTATCGCAACACAATTTAAAATAAACGACCAGTTCTATTGCACAAAATAAAAGCAACAAAAATAAAGAACAATAATATTCAACAGCCAAAAATAACTAAAACAAAGTTATTTACCCTTATTATAAGGAAATATAGTGTGCATAGATAGAAAGATCGAATATGCAAAGATAATTCTGCACTATAGATTAATGTAATGATAGAAAGAAAACACAGAAAATTAAAAACAAAAAAATAAAATAAAATAAAATAAAACAAGTTCAGATTATTTATTTTCACACTATACCATTAACATAATATATACTATACTGTTTGTTAATTATTATACTGACAGATAAAATAAAATAAAAAAATGAACTCGAAATTTAAAAAAAAACACAAAAAAAATAATATTATATTATGAGAAAGAAAAAAAGAAAAACAGAAGAAAATAAAAATTGCCTAAAAAAACAAATATGATAACTGATGACGCCAGAGAATAGATAAATTTAGTTTTCATATTGATTATAATATATTTTTATTATAATCTAATGATTCTTTCTAGAATAGAATAACGGCGTGGATGAGTGTGTAAAAAAAAAAAGAAGAATATTTGAATCTGCAGTGTTAAATCACGTATGTTCACTTCTTGAGCATCTGAGCAATTTTGGATATTACATTTTCATTGATAAACCATTGTATTTTCAGTGTGTACAAAAAATTCATTTTTTTTCTTTTTGGAAGAAATCAATCACTATTTTATTCAATAAAAATAGAGAGATGTTATATAAAAAGATCATTAGTATTATAGTCATTCGTTATTGCATACCCGTTCACAATGATAATTGTTATTTCATGCTGATGTTACTCCGTATGGTATATGGATGCCACGACTTATGATAGAAAATATAAAATCATTATCTAGATAAAAAAAACAATAATATTCTCATTTTTTTTTCTTCTATTATTATTATTTCATTCTTCTTCTAATATACATACTTATATAATTGTAAAATTGTTTATATCAAATCTGACTTTAAAAATACCTGGTAAGTCGATGAAGTATAATATATGGACTACAAGCAGTAGAAGAAAAAACAAATAGAAGAGAAAATAATAGATAAATGAAAAATATTAAAAATATTCGGAACGGAGCTAAAATTTTTAAATACATATATTAATTAGTTAATTAGATACACATATATTTAATTTGATCATACTTATTGTCATCGATTTCTACATAGTTCAATGATTTGTCAATAGTTATATATTTTAATAAATTATTATTCATCATATACTGACAGTAAATCTAATTTTTAAGATATAAAACTAGATAGAGAACTAAAATGAGAAATATTAATGAAACACTTACTTGAATAGTAAATCTACTATATAAATACAAAAAATATTTGTTATTATTAATGATATGGAAATGTCGACAGAGTTTGAAACACGATTTAACATAACCTAAAATGAAATTATTAAATTTTTAGAAATAAATTAATTACCTATTTATTAAATGAATTAAACATGCGAATATAATAAAAAAAAAGAAAAAGGTGATATACACACAAATAGCACACACATGTTATATTTCTACGAATAAAAATGATAAAGCCTGTTGTTTTATGACGCACACATAGACACGTACACACATTGATCATTAGGTTGCTTTATTTTTTCCATTTTAACCGAGTTTTTATTTCAAAATAATTCTCATTTGAATAAGAATATAATTAATAGTATGGGAAGACAAGTAAATGGCAAATATTTAAGATTTTCTCTTGTCAATTCGTTTTTGTTTTGTTTTTCGGATAAGGGTAAGCAAAGCAAAGGATATGTTTCATAAACGAATGAACCAAATAACAAGAGTATCGAAGAGAGAGGTAGAGCACAAGAGCAACACAGAGAAATACATTAATCAATAAGGTATCTTATGTACAGTGATTGGTAAATACAGTGCAAGGAACTTAAATCATATCCAGCTGCATTGGAATATTCTTCAACTCCAAAAAAAAATTATCTCAAAACTTAAGAATATCTGAAAAAATATATTTTTTCGGAGAAGGATAAAGTGGCATGGAGACAGCATGCTCTATGAGAAAAGGAATAAAGAGAATAAGCAAAAAAGGTAATCGCTATTAGCAATTGAGAGAAAAGGAGAACAATGTTTTGTTTAAAATGATGCAAATTAGTAATTATTCAGTTTAATAATTTCTAGAAGTGCATACATTGATGCACTGATTTAAAACTTAATATATGCCTATAATATGATAAGGCTAACATGCCCCTATGAACATCTTAAAGTGTTTATACTTGAACCTACTAAATACTATTTAGATATGTAATATATTCTTATAGCATCGATAAATAATGTATAAATGAGCACGCAAAATAGATATTTTAATGTTGATATATATGTATATGTATGAACAACACACACAAATTAAAATATAATGATTAAATGTTGATTAAAGCAGAGAAGATAAAGTAAAAATTCGTTCTGAAGAAAAGATTTTATTTTTATCTATCATTAGCGCATATTTGTTCCATTTAGAGTTAGATAAAATATTTATAAATTATAGCTTAATGGTAGTAGTACAACAACAACATCAACAGCAACGGTAACAATTACACCACAACATATTTAATATGAAATATGATCATATATTGTGTGTAATTTTCAATGAAATAAAAAATAGTCAAGTGTAGAGAGTGATTCATCAAAGTTTTTACCTATTTACGCTTCGATCGTATTCAAATGCTATAAAATGTAAAATACAATGATTTTTATATGAACTTATCTGTGATGTTTCTGTGTGAGTGAGAAAAAGGATGAATAATTTGTTCTAATATCATTATTGATGATAAAACTTACAAAATCCAAAACATTTTATATTAGTTAATGGTTTATTTTGTGTATCACAATAAAAATCGCTAACAGATGTTTGTGATATTCGATGTTGACATATAACAGTACGCTTTTGTTCACCGATACCGCAATCAGACGAGCACTAAAATAAATGTTGATGTTATTGAATGATCTTATAAAAATATTAGACGTACCGTAGACCAAGATGACGTATGCCATAAATAAAGACTTTGACAGTCTCCCAAACTACATACAATATGATTTACTGGTTGATTATAGGGGCTACAATTCATCGAAATATTTGTCTTTGAAACACGACCATCATTATTAATTGCGTGACATGAAACGGATCTATACTGCAATCCATAGCCGCATGTTGAAGTACACTAAAACGAGGTTGTTCATGATTAGTAGCACGAAAATCAGGATTATGAAAAGACTTACTGTTGACCAATTACCGGTAACCCATGTTTGACCACAATATCGCTCGAAACATTGTTGTGTACGAGATGGTTGAGGAATACGTCGACAAAATTGATCATTTAATGTGCGTGTACGATTAAAATTTAAACATCGCACAGTTCGATATTGTTCACCTACTCCACAATAAGCGTTACACTAAAAATACGACAATCTGATTAATAATAGTCATACAAAACACGGCACACAACTAACCGATGACCATGCATCTGTTTGCCACATATTATTCATTCTGAATCGTCTATTTTTACGTCTTCTTCCAGATGATGATGAGCCATTGAATTTTGTGTATGGCCAGTAACGTGTGGTTGTTAACATTGATGCAGTAATCGAACATGCAAACGTATTGCAAGGGCGTTGATAATTGGGTTTAGCAGTTAGATCACAGACACTTTCATCTACAGCTGTACTGTTTTGATAGAAGTGAACACATTTTGGATAATTTTGTTCGATACCACCATTGCACGTGGAAGTGCACTAGAAATTAAATTATTCAGTCTAATTGAAACGTGAAAACTTGAGTTAAATGTACTTACACGTGTCCAACTATCAGAATGTACCCATTGATAACATGAGCGTACATTGCATGGCTCTTGAACTTTTGGTTTTGTTAAATTTTTTCGTTGATAATTGCAAAATCGATTATGAACAATTCGTTTATTGTTTATTTTTATACAAAACAATTTTCGTGTGCGTTTTCCATCGCCACATTTTGCATTGCACTAGAAGGGGCATGTGGGGGAAAAAGTATGAATAATAACTTAATCTATGTAACTGATGTTATAATAGAATATTTAAATTGTTGTAATATGTAGTACATGGCATCACTTTCACCACTGTCTGCATATTAAAAGGAAATATTTTATGTGTACGCATGTGTGTGTGTATGTGTGTATGTGTGTGTGTGTGTGTGAATAACATATATGTGTGAACGTAAATAGATATTTATAGAAAGATTGAGAATGAAAACCATGATGATGTTTTTCAATCATAATCTCGATAGTTTACAACATTTATTTGCCAAAAAAAGGTTATGTATGTACGTGTGTGCGTATATGTGTTTCTCAAACAATAAATAATAAGAATGATAACTGTTCATGCACAACTAGCAACAGATAACAACAATCAATACAGGTCAACACATCAATCAAGTCGATTAATATATTTTCTGACCTAACAGAACAATCAGTCAAAGCGAGACTCAATTCACTAAGATTAACTTCTCGATAATTATCTTATCTTTTTTCAAGCTTTACCTCCGACCAACTACTCGTTTTCCATTCGAAACAATTTCGAGCACAACTACGTCTTGGAATGGGTTTTGATAATGAGACAGCTTCTTCACATTCACTTGCATCCAATTTTCGATATGGTGGCATTTTTGAGTAACACGCCAAACCAAACCCTAATTCAGTTCCTCGGCCACATTTAACAGAGCACTAAATGGACAACAGAGAAATATTTTATGAAAATAATTAATAGATTACTATAAGGACAACTTACGCCATTCCAGTGTGCTACTTTCCATTGTAAACATTTGGATTTCGGACATGTTCGGTTTGAAGATGGCTCTGGACTTTTTTTATTACAACTCCACGATGGCAAACGACTACCGGTTAATGGATCGATACAGTGAACTGAACGTGTTTGTAAACATGTACGATCATCGCACTAAAGCACAGGCAACAGTGTTAATATGTAAACTACGATGTTCGAAGATTTTCGTACCGGTTTCCATGTACTCATTATCCATGTCAACGAGCTCTGAGTTTCTATACAAGGTGCTCGTCTACATTCAGTCACATTTGTTGGCCTATCTAGACCATTACATTTTTCATGTGAAACAGCCATACCACGATCGTTTTTACACATTAGTGAACGTTGTTGAACTGACTGACCACAAGTGACTGGACACTGTGTAGAAAAAAAGAATTCCCTTTTGAGATCGAATATGGAGATCGAATAATGTTTTAGTCATCTATCAGACTAAAACACTTACTCTCGTCCAGTCTGTGGTTTCCCACTGATAAGTTTCACATGGAACATTTGTTTCACATGCTTCAAATTCAACTGGCTTTTTCGGTAATTTTGAACAATGCCGATCATCTTGAACAGTTTTTGTTAATGCGTCCAGGCAATATATTTTCCGTAATCTTCGACCAACGCCACATGTCACGGAACACTAAACGAGTATAACAGAAAATGAACAATTCTAGTCGATCATAACCAAACCATACTTGTTCCCAAGGCTTAACGTCCCAATAAGCAGTACGAGTCAATTCTCCGATGCGCAACACAGTGCACGAAGCATCCCATACATAACATGACTGTTCACTAACTGGTCGAACATGTTCGTCACAATTTGTTAAGGGGATAGTTTCATGCTCATTTCTACATGCTACTTGACGATATTGAATGCCAGATTCGCACATAGATCCAAAGCACTAGAATTATTAGCAAACAAATGCTGCTACGTATATTGTCGTTATAAGGCTTATGCTTCTGATATTCTATCTAGTAGGGTCATGTTACTCGCGGTGCGTACATGCAAACTCGGTGTCAAAAGAAAAAAGTCATTACCTCAGACCATAAACTCGTCACCCATTGCGGACAGTATGTTTGACTACTACACGATTCAGTGGTTTTTGGTTTCGATTCTATTCTTAAACAATATGAATCATTTAGTTCATGTTTATTATGAGAACACCAAACAGATCTAGTCCGATTTGCAAAACCACATAAGCCAGTACACTAAACAGTAAAAATATTAAATCATTTCTAAATCTAACAAAAGATATTTTATTCATATTCTTACCTTGCTCCATTTGCCAATTTTCCAAACTGGACAGGCTGTAATTGTACAATTTTGTATATGTAACGGTTTATCATTAATTGAACATTCTGATGGTAAAAGTTGTTTCCACGGCATTGATGGATCTTCACAATAAACAGCGCGTTGCTGCATACCTAAGCCACATGTTTGTGAACACTAAAAAGATGGAAAACAAAGCAATTTAAGTCTCCTCTACTAGAAAAACTTTTAACATATTACCTCCCCCCACGAACCAACATTCCATTTTGCTGTTGAACATTCATTCAATTTACATTCCTGTTGTTCATCGGGCATTGATGCACTACATCTTGCTCTATCGATTTGTCTGTCATCTTGAATACAGTGTACTGGACGGTGTTGAACACCCAATCCACATGTAACAGAACACTAAAGGGCAAAACAGCGCTAAAAAATGCCAGTAAACAGAAGTCTGTTCTTCTTACCGGATACCACTTTCCAACGCTCCATTTTGGACAGCTGATATTTGTTGAACATGATTCTTGTTCAACTGGTTTCATTCGTCGATCACAATAATGATCTTGTACAACGCCATTGTGATGAGAACAGATAACGCGACGATTTCTTATTCCATTCGAACAAGTTGCCGTACACTAGTAAATGAATTCATTAAGTGATGCATTATCAAACCTGTTTTTCACTTACTGCTTGCCATTCATCTGCAACCCAATGTGGCATTAAACATTCTTGATAACACGATATTGATTCATCTGGTTTCGATTCATGCTTACAATATTGTTCTCTAACAATATTACCATTTTTAACACACGATACACTTCGTCGTCGACGTCTCAATTGACAATCACACTAGAGAATCAGTGAAAGCATATTTTGTATGCGTGTATCTGCATAGTCAATCTCTACTTACATCTGACCAAACAGTATAATTCCATTGATAATTTTCACACGCTGAGTCAGTACATCGTTCAGCATTTAATAAAAATTCCGACACACAATAATAAGTGGATACAAGGTGGTATGATGAATTCCGACATTCTGAACTACGTTCACGGATGCATCCTTGGTTCGGTGAATAATGACACTATTAATTCGAAACAATACCAACATCATATATTTATTATGTGATAGGATGTACAACTCACTTCTCGCCAGTTACTGTAAACCCATCCTGTTCCAGAACAATCGCCAGAACAAGGAACAATATCTGTTGGTTTTGTACCAACATATTGGTTACACACTGTTTCATCTAATACTTCAAGTGTTCGTTCGCTAAAACTTGATTTAGCACATTCATAGATAACTCGTTTATAACCGTCACCGCAACGAGTTGAACAAGGATGTTGATGTTTAGCTGTCCAACTGTGAGGAATAAAACAAGCAATTATTTTATATTATTCTAATAGTCAATCGATAAACTAACCTTAAAATACAATCATTATTACAACTTTCTTTTTGTGTTGTAAACGCTATTTGATACATTGAACAATACGATGGATCATACGTTCCACCATTAATTATACATTTGTTCACTGGTTTCCACCCTTGAATTTTGACACAATTGAAATTACTTAAAGCGGCATTTTATTTGATCTATTTACCTTGACATGGTCTGTCGCAGTGATGTTCGGAGCCAAATTGCCCACCTTGTTCAAAATTCTCACCATTTATTAATGGTGGATCTTTCATGGGTGTGTAGTATTCCCATTGAACATATGTTGGTGGAGCACCAGCCACGTGGATTGACAATACCTATAGAGAAAATTTTGTGACATATAATAATTTTACATTAAATGGAAATGATTATTATGTGTGTCTACCTGAATTTCTAATGGAACTCTCAAACGGCCATATATCTGTATCGTTTCATTACCCGAATCTGATCCCGTATAATGTAATAGAGCGGCACCAACACGAATTTTAACATTATATAATTGTAAACTGTGCATACCATTCAATATATAAGTACCATTAACATATTTAACAGCTTCAAAAAACAACAACACTGAAGTAGGTTTGATAAAAGCAATTCATTTTTTAACATCATACCTAGATAATATAAATCATTTGTATCTGATATTTGTGTTACAATAACTCGTGTTGCATTAACTGGTACATCAACAATACTTGTTAAACCTAAACAATTACCGATAAAAAGTCTAGTTATTTTCAACAACTACTTTTTCGAGATCTACATACCAAACTTTGACACAACCTTCAAACCGGATAGTAAACGACATGTTCTGTTTTGACCATTACAAACTCCGCAAACATCTTCTGTTGCATTTGAACCATATTTATTATCACATCCAACAGGCTAAATGCAAACAAACATAATGTCTGAGAAGTGACATTTCATCATTCTTTTGTGTCGCATACCATGCACACTCCACTGATACATATATCACGAGTTTCTTCTTCTCGTCCACATGGTGTTCCATCTTCAACTCGATCACCAAGGACAAATGATCGTTCAAGACGATCGTCCGATACTTTACATATTAATTTGCAACGTTCACTTGGTAATACTAAAATTAAATAGTAAAAGATTAAATTAGGAAACGAACGAAAAACGTAGACTAAAGAATCCTTAAGAAAAACTTTACGAATGCGAAAGGTTATTCAAAATGACTCCTAAATCCAAAATGGCTAAGGAATCGTGTTTAAAAATCTTTTGAATATTTTAGTAAATTAATAGGATTTATTAGCCTATTTAAAAAGCCTTTTTTGTTCTTTTAAATAGGCAATAAGATTCATAAGCTCCCATAAACTCTTAAAGGTTTCATGCGGTGGCATTCTTCTAGATCCTCCTAGAAGAATATAGAAATCTTAAAAACCGCAAAATCTCAAAAAATCCAAAAAGATTTTAAGAACGATTTCTTATCCGTTTTGGATTTAAGAATTATTTTCAAAAAGGCGTGATTGAAGTCATTTATTTGACTACATCGAATATAAAACTTTTTTGTTTAACTACGATATTATTTCTATCGTATTAACGACTTATTTTCATTTGTTTCTTAAAAACTCACACAAATTCTTAGTCTTTTATAAGTTTATAATATTAACTTTTATTTTCAGAGTCCAGTTATACTTCGTGCATGATTACGAGAATACAATCAATATTCGTTTCTTTAGTACGATCTAGCCAAGCATTGATTTGTCATTTATAACAAAAGAAATTGTAAAATAGTTAATGATGCATATCCTCGGTGATTCCGCTATTTGATTCAAGTACGATTAAAAGAAGTATAATTGACCTTCATTCTATCATATTAACATGACAATTTTCTTCAGAGTTAAATGTACAATTCGGTCTGTTTGATTACAAAAAAAAGAATTTCAATTTATAGAATCGTCAAGTCTGATAATTAAACAAGTTTGGAAAGGTAATGAGGGGTATGAGGTAGTTGATACATAAAAATCTTATATTGATCCTTTTTCTTTTCAAAAATGTTGATTTTTTTTTTTCGTTAAATTAATGATCAGTATGACATTTTTACATTTTTTTTCTCCACCTCTTTTTCCTTTATATGCTGCTGGTATCCAAATAACAATCTCTCACTCTTTTTGAAATATTTCTGCATCATTTATTCTCTGTTAATCGTTCTTTGATGCCTGTAAATAGACAGGATACTAGGTGAATAAAAGAACCCAAATCTTTTCAGAAAAGAATATATAAATAAATTAACCATTATACGATCAGCCAACGTATTATCGAGAAAAAAAGTGACAAAATATCGTCGTATTAAAATAAATATCAAGAAAAAAATGTTTTAATTTCTCGCTTTATTCACATAGCAGAAACAAAGAGTATATAGAAGTTCGTATCCCATAGACTAAAACCTTTTGTATGCGATAAGTAAGTTAAAAAAGTTTTTTTCAAAAATAATTTGATTTCCTTAAGAAAGTCAGCTGAAAGTGAGTTCAAGTTTCTACTGTAAAGAAAATGTAAAAAAACAAAACTTTTTGTTTTAAATTTATAAATTTCATAAAAAAGTTTTTATATGTCTCAAACGTTTAATGCTGGCTGATAGACGGGTTTGAATGAATCTAGAATGAAACATTTGGACAAATCGAAGCGCGCTTTTGTAACCAGACGCATTTTGATATGTTCATTCTTGACACATTCAAACGCAAACGTTCGCATGAGGAGTACTTGAATTTTAAATTGAAATAGAAATAAAAAATAAACGATCTTGAGTCTGAACGATCTGCAGATATATTGAAAAATAACTAAGAAAAGAGAAAACTACATAAGTAAACACAAATAGTATGTATAATCAGTGTTAACTATATGTAACTATTTTCAATACTTCTGAAGTCACGTAGTGTCATCAAAAAAAAGAAAACTCTACTATTATAGATTATTGTCATTATTGAGAAAGAGGGAGAGAGAAAAAAAAGAGAAAAAACAGAGTGACTTATTACTAAAAAATGCGAAATATTGAATTTACATTTATTTATCTTCTATCAACAATAACAAGAAAAAACTCTAGAAATATTTTTTGCTTTTTGTTAAAAAATTTCTTTCCCTTTCTCGGCCTCTTTTTTCCTTATAATGTAGCAATAAATTAATAACAAAAATGTGAGCGTTGGCGTTGTTTGATGATCCCTCATAAACAACAAGAGAGAGAGAGAGAGAGAGAGAGAGTATTTTTCTATTCACAATACGAACATACATATCCTTAACCAAAGTTTGCCATCTACGCCGTTTTGATTAGCAACTACTACGACGCACCGATATTTATCACATTACCTTAAACGTGTAAACAACTTATCATTAAGTATTTGAATCGTGCAAATTATTCAATACAAATATGGTGCAAATTAATTTTCAAAGTAAGTGTCAATAAATGACAGCGAAAAGTCTTTTAAGACGAGATACTGCTCAGAAAATCGATCATAAGCCGAAAAAGCTGATTTCGAGTTTTCTGCATAACGGAATAGTCTAAACTGTCCTCTTTCAGAATCGGTATTGCTTTATACACTATCAGTGTTTTTTGTAAAATTTTACAGAAGATTTTTTAGAAGCCTCACACAACTAAGTTGCTTAAGACTAATATCGAATTTGGTTTAAGCTCCATTCTTTCTCCGATGATATAGATTTATGAAGAAGACTCTTCTCTCCTCAAAACAAGATGTGATGCAACTTTCTCTGTCTCCGTTGTAGAAAGTGATATGTATTTCTCTACAAGTCCAATAAGAAATACGAATCTTTTAAAAAGATTTTACGAATATTACATCCTGTAGGATCTTACAAAATGTAATTCACTCGTATAAGTTGTTGAGTCAACCACAACGATACAACATAGACTAATCATTTTTTTTTTGTCAAAGTCTAGATTAAAATGTAAAAATGATCGAGACCAATTCGAAAATTCGCTTTTGCATTCAATAAAATGGTAGATTTCTGAAGAGTCGGTTTTTTGAATCTGAAAAATCGTTTGCTCGACAAAAAAGGATATTTCATTGGTCTTGTTCATTTTTTACATATAGCTGTTTTCTTTTAATATAAAACATCTCAGAATTTAGTAGCTATTTTAAGCCTAAGAAATAGTCTGTTTTTGGTTTGAAAATTTTCATCATAATTTTGACGTCGAAAACTTTTATTTCCGAAAGTGTTATTTGATTTGACTATACAGTGTAAAAAAGCTTCTTGAGAGAAATAGTCCGTTTAAGCCGAGAAAACTATTGCTTACCATTATATTTCGGCTCAAATCGAACACCTATAGGCAGTGATGGATCAATACTTTTGTTATTAAACTTAGAACATTGTCGTTGTCGAAACATATCGACTGGATCTTTACATGGCTAAGATTAATAAAAGAGTAAAAACATTTTTTCTCGAGCCTGTTGAAGAAAATAACTTACTGGATTGTGTTCGCATGATTGAATACGACTTGATTGTCCAGAACAGTATTGTCCACCATTTTCCGGTCTGAAATAAATATGACTTAGAAATCTGCAGTTAAGGTATTCTTTAAACATACTTTGGATTGTCGCATGTCCGATACGATTTTTGTACAGCGCTTCCACATGTTCTTGTGCAGGCTGACCACGGCGACCATTCTCCCCAATTACCGTTACGACTTCTAAGGTCACGATTACTACGACATTCACCCCGAAAACATCGCTATAAAGTAAATCTCAACGTTATCTTTGCGAAGTATTTTAAGTGCAGTGCTTTGAAATCTATCAGTGTTAGAAAAAAAATGCCACTGATCAAAAGAGAAAAAATTATTAGATGCAATTGTATCAGAAAAATGAAAAGACTGCTCGTGATTGACGACTTTTTGTGAGCTCTATCTGCGATTTTGAAATTTTCAGATCTTTGAAGCACCTATCGGATGTAACGAAACAATCTTGTAGAACGAAGATTTTATTCCATCTTGTCCTATACTGAGCCATAAGTTCTACTGGTACTATCGTAGTACTTCAGTGTTGCGAGCTAGTTAAGTTTATAGTTTAACTTTAAAAAAATAATTGCAGATCGTAATCAAGTTCTCAACATTTAATAATATTCTGTTCTAAATCTTGTTTTTGTTTAAAGTAATTTTTTCCCGTTTTGAACAAGTAAGTAAATGTGTATTCTAAAGTGGTTATTGTCCGTTAACAACTATTTATTTTTGTTCAGGCTACTACTATAGCATGGTTGGTAGCTGCGAGGGATAGTGAGAGCTACATATAGATGTATCAAGAATGTATCCTTGATGTTACAAAAGAAAAGAAAAGTATTATTCATTCAAGTATGCGCGCTCACATACATCAAAATCTATTAATAGTATACACATAAAAAGAAAAACAGAATAATATTCTGTAAAACGAAAAAAAAGATTGTTGACTAATTAAATAAAAACTGGAGAAGAAAAATAGACATGATTGTACAAAAACGATAACAAGTGGTGGTACAGCTAAGACTTTCTTCTGTATCCTTCTCTTTCTCTTTTTTCTTCATTTTAATGTATGCCATCTACTTATAATCTCTTAGTTGTCTAAATTAATATGTCTGTAGGAGAAACTTGACAATTAGACATTTAAGGACGAACTGATAAGGAAGAAAATTTCATAAATAATAATTATGAGAAAGATACAGAGAAATTTATTTATTCATAAAAACTGTGTCATTTGATTTGCTTTTTTTCTATCCAGCGCAGGTATGTGTTAGTAAAAAACGCACTTTTTATTTCTTTATCCATGAGAATCTAGTTAAGCATCACAGAATTCAAAGCACAGAGGTGTAGACGAACGTTTTCACAACTGAATATTTTAAGACACCGAACAAAATGTAATCCGCAAGATGTTAATGCAGTTATCAGAAGGTATAGGGTCTATGGAATAGAAGATTTGCTTGAGTCAAAAATTTCGATTTGGTTTAAACTTTAATATAGAAGAAATAGTAACCAAATTGGGCTTGTGCCCATTGCATGACATTGGGAAAGCGAAAAAGATAACAAAGAAAAAAAATAGATAAATAAAACAAAAGAAAATGCTAAAGTTTTAACAGATTAAAGCAGTGGAGATACGAAGGAGATGAGAAGGATTTTCTGTGACAACTGTGTGAGTGAGGTATAAAGACTTTCACGTAAGAGAAGTAACATCATTTATGCCCAAAGCGGTTAGACTCTCAAATGAAATCAACGATAGCCTTACAGATACTTTTACTTTTTTCAAATTCAATAGACAAGCCCCTAAAACTAAAGAGTAGAAAGTCAAGAGAAAAAATAATTTGTGTGCCAAACATGAAATTAATAGTACTCATCAGTTTCTTTCGAGACTTATGATACTTCCTACAGATGAGAAGAAAATGATTTTGTGATTCGTCCTCCTCGCATGTGCATGATGAATCAGGAATAAGGGTGTACCTAAATAAGTCAGCATTCAATTGTGAGAATTCAATTCTTAAACGAGCGCAGTGAATTTCGTTAGTTCTGTCCTCACGCCTAGGTATGCAATGTGTAATTTCACTATGTACTCCAGTTTTTTTAAATTCCATCAATATAAGTCTAAATCTTGAGTATAATTTGTTATCATTCCACATTTTACAAGTTGTCGTGATGAAGGAGTTTTCACATATCGTCAAACCATGGCGCTGAACTGGAATTTGTTAAGCAGCTGTACTTCTTCTTAGTGAATAAGTATGTGATGTAGTATCAGTTGGAATGAGAGACTGAAGAGGAGGGGATGCTTTGCCAAACTTAATTTTATGAAATAAGCAAAGTCGGTGAATAAAGAAGGTTTCTTCGTTCGATTTATCATATATAAATTAAAAAGTCTTTAAAAAAGAACAAGGACTATTTGTTTTTCCATCAGAAATTTTGCTCTTTTCCCAAACCTATCTACCTACCTTTGGTTCTGTCCATGGTTCATGACATTCTGTTCCATCTGACCATGGAGCATGATTTGTCATACACGAGGTAGCATTTGCATACATGTCCTTACAAAATAAACGTGTGCATCTTGCCTACAATAAAAGCGTATAATTCATCCATATCAGTACTTTACTTTCATTATAACATTTCAACATACTCCGTGATTTAAATCGCTGCAGTATTCGTAATTTATGCCAAATGCTCGTTTACACTGTCTATCAAGATTGTTGAAACTGCCCGGTAATTCTCGAGCCGCTTGTTCACTATTAAGATCTTTGAATATTTGTGAATTGTAATCGGGCACGTTGTTTAAACATTGATATCGTTCTGATCTGTATAACAGAAATAGAATATATTTGAATTTTCCACTGTTCAATACAGTGTTCGATAGTTTACTCTAGATATTGTGTGAAGAAATGTCGACTACAATTTGACCATTTGTAATGATTATGATTGAATGTGAGAGATGTTGCCATGATGTTTTGTTCTTTCGTATAATCTTGGCAAGCTTTATCATTATCATGACGTACACCAAATCTAAATTCAGCTTAACAGTCAAAATTCACATAGCAAAAAGAACTTTCATTTCGGAGAACAATTGTGAACGGTGAACTGTTCGCAATGCGACTTTCTTAATTTTGCATTCTGCAGATGGCGTCATCTACCCATGATGTATCCGGTGCAAATCACACAGTGACAACACGAATGACTAAGGGAGGTGGCGCTACTTTCACTCATCACTAAAAACGCAGAGCAGAAGGAAAAGTATTAACAATTAAGAGCCATTTCACATAAGCCACGACCGACACTGCTCAATCGTATCTCACAGAACTCGTTCGAACCAGTCAAAAAAGAAAATATAGATATTTCTGAGTAAAATGGCGCTTTCCGTTTGAAAAAATATTGCTGG